TCATTTCTAAACGCCGGGCTAGTTAGTCCCGGGCGAATGGCATACGAGTTACAATTTCCCGCTAAGGTACCACAGGGATAGTTCCGGCTGCCCGATGATTTGAGTAGGAGCCAATCTCGCCGCAGTAAATGGTCTCCGTGCGCCTCTGAATTCAAGATAAGCTTCTTCCGCCGGGTAGGCGCGGGGAATCTCTATAGTCAGATGCGAAAACGTGGGCGCCACATCTCACGTTATCCGGCTACTAGTAGCCCGGGCCAGCCGCCGGGCGGCGGCTCCGCCCTCCACTGCGCGAGGAGCCGGTCCACCGAGTAGACAGTCTCGTCGCCCTCTGACTCGGAAGAGGCCTCCTCCTCCGCGTCGGCGTCGAACTCGTCCTCAGGCGCGTCGCACGACGCGGCCGCGCCGTTCCGGTTCATCGCGCGAAACCTCTTCTTGCGCAGCCACTCGGGACGGAGCCGGTCCTCGGGCGGCAGCCGCCGACAGCGAGTCGGAGGGCGACGACGCGCCTTGCTATTGGGCGCAGTGCGACCGGTGCGACAAGTGGCGGCGGCTGCCGTTTGAGGACCGGTTCCGTCCCGAGCGGCTGCCCAAGAAGTGGTTTTGCGCGATGAACCCGAACGGCGCGGCCGCGTCGTGCGACGCGCCTGAGGACGAGTTCGACGCCGACGCGGAGGAGGAGGCCTCTTCCGAGTCAGAGGGCGACGAGACTGTCTACTCGGTGGACCGGCTCCTCGCGCAGCGGTGGGCGGTGGCGCCGTCCGGCGGAGGGCCCGGGCGACTAGAAGCGGAATACGTGTGTTCGTGGATCCCAGCTAGCGCTTGAGAGGACACGTACTCAGCTGACTCAGCCGCATTCAGCCGTATTCGCTGTACTCGCGTCCCTCGCATTCCCTTGGTGCTCTGAGTACGCTGCACAACGCCGTCTTCCCGCCCCGATGTTTGCGTCTTCACCTCGCAGGCTCGAGAAGTTTACCTTACCTTACCTTACGCAGGCTCGTGCGCCAGTTCCTCGTCTCTTGGAAGGGGTTCGGCGCGAGGGCAGACTCGTGGGAGGACGAGGCCGCCCAATCTTCGCCCCGCCAGCGCCCAAGTTCGACCCGTGAATGGCACCGAGAGTCCATGGTTGTGTACAAATCAGGCGGCGATCCTCGACCCCGCCCTCGTGCGCGAGTTCGACGCGCAGCTCGAGCCGATGGCCGCCCTCGACGAGAACTCGGTCCGCCGCCGCTGCTCGAACCAGATCGAGCTGGCGCAGCGCGCCGGGCGGTCCGACGCCGCTGCCTCGCCTTTTGTTTGTACGCCCCCCCCACATTT